ACTCTTTCTTAAGAAGATGTATAATATAAGTTGTGACTAATTGAGCAAAACAAAGTAATCTAGAGACGTTTATGTTGAGTGTTGAAACTTGAAATGCAAGTAAGCTCCGATGTTTTCTTACAAAGTAATTAATCCTCCTACACGTAACACACTAGTACAAGAGTAGGTAGCTAACAAGGGTCAGATTCATTTTGATGTTTAAATTGGGAATTGGTGGCCTGCGCTGGGTAGCTATTAGTCGTCTATGGTAATGTCTACGGTGGATCAAGCAAGCAAGCAACTCGTGTACCATACCATACGTATAGTATCAAAAGAATATATATGAAGTAAACCGAAAGAATGCTGCTTTCTGTCGGACCAACAACCTCAACTAACCTCCAATTTGTCAGTTGAAGAAATCACACATTAGTAGTGGTATACTTACTGTGTGAGGTGAGTACGTGCAACGGTGCAAGAAATGGAAATATCAAATATGCGCATCTGCCGGCCCGTCAATGGCCTCAGAATCAGAAAGCAGATAACAGATAGTTAGGAAATTAAGTTGATGAATGAAATGGTGTAGTGTAGGGCTTCACATGTCCATGTTCATGCCCATGGGTGACCTAATTATGACTAAAACCCATCTTCCACGCACAACTCTCTCTCTTTCTCCTCTATTTCACTCTCTGCATGTGTTGGTGTTTTTGTGCTTGTGTATTTGAGAGAGAGAGAGAGAGAGAGTGTGTGTGATGAGAAGAGCCGACACAAGAAAAGTAATCAAGCAAGCAACGTGAATGTTGGCTTTCCAAGTAAGAGTAAATAAACAGCTATATACATATATAATTTCTATGAACTATGAGATCTGGTTGGCAACTTGGCTAATATATACAATATTTTAATAGGCTAATTGGTTGGTAATAAATCACATACAATATTTCGTGATAATTAATTCACACCTCAACATTTCTTTTCTTGTGTGTCTACAATCCATACATACATTTATATGTAGGATGTTAAAATCCTATCATTGCGAGAAACTTTCATGCAACGGATATAACACTTTTCATTATCTCCAGTCAATAGCTTAGTAACATGCGTGACAATTTTTCCACGTATTATTGCACTATTGGTCGAATATAATAAAACAGTATTATTCCATTTACAATAAAACTTTTATAAACCACCGCACCGCACCACACCTTCCATTTCATTAAAACTATTGTTTTGTTTTGTTGCATGGTCCTACAGTCCTACTCCTAACGATCCAATTTCGTAACCACTAATTGTTCTTAATTTTTTAAATTCACTCATACCATGATAAGATTGCCAACAATAAAATACTCTTAACAATAATTGTCTTCATATTCTTCAATTGATCACTGTGATTCGTATCATAAAGCCAGCATCCAATCCAACTAAGAAGGAAGTTTCCTTCCTTCCTTCCTTCCTTCCTTCCTTCCAAGTAAAATTAACTTAGTGCAGTGCAGGCAAAAGCCAAATAAGCGCAAATAATTAAGAAGCCGAAAATCCTTTTAGGTTTCAGGTCATTAATTTACATTTCCAAGAGCAAACAATTCTAACTGGTTGTCCTTGTCACATGAAAACTTCACAATTCCAGTAAAATTATTCTCAACATTTTTAACCTCAAGTGGTGTTAACTATTAAGCTCGGTGAAAAAGTTGATGATAGAATCATATCAGTTGAATAAAAGCAAAAAAAGAGAAAAGAAAACATTTTTTTATATATATATTTTTATGGATTCTTGTTTGGATTTGAATTAATGTTATTGGAAAATAATAATATCCAATCCCAATTGAGAGTTGAATTGATCATCAAGACAACTGGACAAGGTACCATTTGGAATCTGGGAAGGAACCATATAAAAAATTCAAAGGGAATACTAGCAAATTAAATTATTTAGTTGGTAGATATACGGTCTTAATCACAAAATTTAATTATTTCAAAAGCAAAATAATAAAATTGGTATTTTCAGAATATATATATCTTTTAAACGTGGACCTGTGTAAGACATGAAAAGAGCCCCACCCTCGGTTTGGTTGACAACAGTGCTGTGAGCCTGTGACTCCAAACGGTCCCGTATGATTCGTCGGTGGGTGCGCCAATCATGTCAATCCATACGACGGGTTACCATGCATGCTCCTTTTTTTCTTTTTCTTTTTTTAATCAAAGGTCCAAATATATTGAGAAAAACCAGAGCAGAGGGAAATGGTCAACCAACCAACCTCCTTAGACACATTGTTTTGTTTTTGTCATCAAGTTTGGGAAGTTCAAAAGGTTAAGACAAAGATAGATATTGGTAATTGAACAAACCAAAATGACAAGAAAAGAAAAGAAATAGACATGTTGCTTGCTTGAGTTGAAAATTGAGACGAAAGCTTATGTCATTTCGCTGTCCCTCTTCCAAATCATAGCATCTCATTCTCAGCAGCCCAAACAGGTTATCCAAATCCAAACCAAAGTACGTTGTGTTTTGAATACAAATATAAAATGCATTTTGTCATATCGAATAAGGAAAAGGAAAAAAAAGGTGAAAAGAAAGAAGATTATGGATGTTCCCTCTTTCAAAAGGAGAATTAATAAGAGTATTAATTGAGTTTATAGGACCTGGTTGGCTGTAATGTTTGATGAATGAATGAGTTATGAGTGTACAACTTACAAGTGGGTGACATGCCACCTGCCTTAACAGCTTATGCCAACTTGTGTTTCTTTCTGGTATATGTGTTGCTATGCCCAATGAATAATTAGGTCGTTGTAACTTGTAATTAAATACAATGCCCATATGGCTCTTAAAACTGCACTCCATTGTATATCAATTTTCTTAACCCCAAAAGCCCAAAAAAATGCCACTTGGTGGCCTACCCATTGAATCATTACATTTTTTTTTTTTGGTTACAACAAATTTAGGGAGATGGGTGACTATCATATTCCAGGATCATGCCATATCAAGGTATTTTTGAGAACTTATAGAGGAGGTCTTAGATCATTTTTTTAGTTTTTACAAATTACCCTATAAGAGGGAATATTACAATTTCTCTTCTCCTTCTCCTCCTTCTTCTTCTTCTTCTTCTTCTTTCTTTATGTTTTTCTTCTTATGAAGAAATCAACAAGGGCAACTAATGACTTAAACAAAAAAAAATCATATATATTGTTTTGTATAAAATCAGAAATAATATTGATCAAGGGAAACACTACATCAAATTGTTCATTTGGCTTGAAAATTTGATGTGTCATTCCCAATTTCTCAATTAATTCATTGTCGAACAAAAAGGCTTAGAAAAAAATGTTAAAGACAATTGAAGAGGCATAAAGCTAATATAAGGGGAAAAGTTGGTAATTGCGCTCAATAACATTCACCATACAATAGGAAAAAGAAGCCAATAAATAACAAAAAATCAGAAAACCCATCTAACCGTCGCTCATCTAAATTTATTGGCTGAAAAACAAAGAAATATATTTAAAAATCTTCCAGTAAAAAAAAAAAAAAAAAAAAAAAAAAAAAAAAAAAAAAGAAAAGCAAAAGACAAATAAAAGTAAAGGAAAAAGATAAATGGCAGTTGACTACTGCTAACCAGGTCACCAGTTCTCCCTGACTGCGTACAGCTAGGGTTTCTTACTCTATTTGCTTTACTATTTCCCCCTATTTAGTAATTTACCTCACAGCCTGGACTCTCTCTCTCTCTGTTTCTCTCTCCAAAGGACACCAGAAGGCCAACAACAAAAAGGCCAAAAAGAAAAGAGGAAATGCAGGTCCCAAAACACACTCTCGCTCTCTGCTCCACTCTCTCTCTTCCTCAGAAAGCCAAACCAAACAATGTATGAACTTTGAAAGAACAAAACAAAAAAATCCAGATATCCACAACCCCATTTCGCCAAAACCATTTGGGTTTTCGCCAAAATGCATTCCCAGAGCCAAAGGCTTTCCCTTTTCCTTTTCTCTTTGCTGGTTTTGCTTCCCATTGCAAAACCAGATCTGGGTTCTGACCGAGCTGCTCTTCTAGCTCTGCGCTCAGCCGTGGGTGGCCGAACCCTGCTCTGGAATGTGAACCAGCTTACCCCATGTTCATGGGCTGGTGTCAAATGCGAGAACAATCGTGTCACTGTGCTTCGACTTCCTGGTGTGGCTCTCTCTGGCACCATACCCAGTGGCATTTTCGGCAATCTGACCAGTCTGCGCACACTCAGTCTTCGTCTCAATGCTTTAACTGGTCATCTCCCCTCAGATCTCTCTGCTTGCGTTACTCTTCGTAACCTTTACTTGCAGGGCAACTTGTTCTCCGGCGAAATCCCGCAGTTCCTCTACAGTCTGCACGACTTGGTTCGGCTTAACTTGGCGTCCAACAATTTCTCAGGGGAGATCTCTCTGGGTTTCAACAATCTCACCCGCATAAGGACTTTGTACCTCCAAAACAACAAGCTTTCTGGGGTTATTCCAGAGCTGAACCTTCCCAATCTCGAACAGTTCAATGTATCAAATAATTTGCTAAACGGGTCTGTTCCAAAAAAATTACAGTCTTACTCTTCCAGCTCGTTTCTGGGTAATTTGCTATGTGGGCGTCCCCTTGATAGTGCTTGTCCTGGAGAGAGCGGAGCTGCTCCAAATGGGGATATAAATATCAATGATGACCACAAGAAGAAAAGCAAGCTGTCTGGTGGTGCTATTGCTGGTATTGTCATTGGATCTGTACTGGGTTTTCTTCTAATTGTTATGATTTTAATCCTTTTGTGCCGAAAGAAAAGTAGCAAAAAGACGAGCTCGGTCGACATTGCTACGGTGAAGCATCCAGAAGTCGAGATTCCAGGCGATAAATTGCCAGCGGATGCTGAAAATGGGGGATACGGTAATGGGTATTCAGTTGCAGCGGCCGCCGCCGCGGCGATGGTGGGCAATGGGAAAAGTGAAGCCAATAGTGCCGGCGGTGCTGCCGGTGCCAAAAAGTTGGTGTTTTTTGGTAATGCGGCGAGGGTGTTCGATCTGGAGGACTTGTTGAGAGCTTCAGCGGAAGTTTTGGGGAAAGGGACTTTTGGGACTGCTTACAAGGCAGTTCTGGAAGTTGGGACTGTGGTGGCTGTGAAGAGGCTTAAGGATGTGACAATTTCTGAGAGTGAGTTTAAAGAAAAGATTGAAGCTGTGGGAGTGAAGGATCATGAGAATTTGGTCCCTCTAAGGGCTTATTACTTTAGCAGAGATGAGAAGCTTCTTGTCTATGATTACATGCCTATGGGAAGCTTATCTGCGCTTCTGCATGGTCAGTGTTTCTGGTTTGATTGCTTCCTTTTTCGGTTCATATATTGCTCTGCCTTTTCAGTTCTGTGGTTATTGCTTTACTTCTTTCCTTGCATTTTGATGATGATGGTTATGATTTCTACGGATACATCAATTCCTCTGGATAATTATTTTAATCTTTTAGCCTTTTCTTTTTCGTTTCTGAAAAACGCGAGGAAGGCTGCATTAGACATGTTATTGAGTGGTCTTGAGGATTTGTTTTGCATCTCCAACAGTTCTGATGTCTGCATAGTCTTTCTATTTGCAACATATGTCTTGAGTTGCTGTGGTTTCAGCTGCATTTCATATGTTTCAGGTTTAATTTTAAATCCGCAATTCCCATTTGAGCTTTCTTCTAAGGGTGACATCAATAAGTGGAAAAAGCTTCAAACTTTTCAGCAATATTGTTCATTGCAATCTTTCAAACTCATAATATTCATTGAAGAATTTTAAGATTAAGGAAACAAAGGAATTTTATCTTTACTACCATCTTGTCTTCTATCTCTGCACTACAGGAAACAAAGGAGCAGGAAGGACTCCATTAAATTGGGAAATCCGGTCTGGCATTGCCCTGGGAGCTGCCCGTGGAATTGAATACCTACACTCTCAAGGACAAACTGTCTCCCACGGAAACATAAAGTCGTCCAACATCCTGCTCACAAAATCCTATGAAGCTCGGGTTTCTGATTTTGGCCTAGCGCACCTTGTTGGGCCCTCCTCCACTCCCAACCGTGTTGCTGGCTATCGGGCACCAGAGGTGACAGATCCTCGCAAGGTGTCCCAAAAGGCCGATGTTTATAGCTTTGGGGTATTGCTCCTGGAGCTACTCACTGGGAAGCCCCCAACCCATGCCCTGCTGAATGAGGAAGGAGTTGACCTCCCAAGGTGGGTGCAGTCCATAGTTAAAGAGGAGTGGACTTCGGAGGTTTTCGATCTTGAGCTCCTCAGGTACCAGAATGTTGAGGAGGAGATGGTTCAGCTCTTGCAACTTGCAATAGATTGTTCAGCCCAGTATCCTGATAAACGCCCTTCAATATCCGAAGTGACCAGGCGCATTGAGGAGCTACGTCGTTCTAGCTTGCGAGAGGATCATGAGCAGCAGCATCCTGATGTTGTCCATGATTTAGAGAATGTGTCTTCTCGATGAGCTGGTCTGGGGACCATCTTCTTCTTCCCTCGTGGATTTGTAGGACAATCCTTGCTTTCGCGTGTTAAATCTGGTGTTGTTGTTGTATGTTATTAAATCTGTCTCATCTCACTTTCCTTAGGAGCCAACTGTTATTTTTTTCTCTTTTCTTTTCACCCTTTTGTTCGCCCCATTGCACTTAGTTTTTTCCCTTTTTCTTTCATTAATACACTTTGGGGTGGATATCTGTTCCATTTGTTGTTGGTGGATGATGGTTGCTGTAATTATTACTTCACCTTTTGCCTTTGCCTTTATCACAACTGTTGAGCTATTGAGCTTTCGATTGAAATTAAGATGTTTTAGTTGCTTCATCTTCATGTGTTGGTTGGTTGTGATGTCTATTCAGCTCAACGAACGTCCCCACGCAACTCCTTTTCTTGGTTTGGCTTTTTAAAACGACAGATTTTAAACATAAACATCTATAATTGAAGCAAAGCTCGGTTGTTAAGTTATTCTGGAAAAGGTTATTGTCAATTGTATTCTCATTTGGTAGTTGCTACTTGGTTAAATGACACAAGGAAGGAGGGGCTGTCTGGGAGTGGATGATACAGTAATGTTGAATTCAAAAAGTGAGTAGATGTTTTGTGAGATTGTGAATTTGTGAGGATGATGATAATGATGATGATGAGCAAAGCTTGCTTTATTTATGGTGGACCAAACTCTATTGCATTGAAGTGGAGGGAGGGCCAGGATGTAAAAAGTGAATAGACAGTCTCTGATGTAGTGGTCCTTCCTTTTCTTTGGCGGTGTGATGGTTAAAATGTTTTTGATGGCATCCAAAGTCTTAAGGAGCTCTCTCTCTCTCTCTCTCTCTCTCTCTCTCTCTGGGGTGTATAAGGGTTTAGAAAACAAAAGAAAATAGAGTAAGAGTACTAACTAAGAAAGTGATAGAAAACAAAATTGGAGCTTCAATTTTCCAGTATCGGATATTTTTGTCCTCTCGGGTGGTGCTGTGCTGTCCTATTCTGACGTTTTTATTCAAAATTGAAACGGTTCTTTCTTTTCTGGGCCAGAAAGAATACCAGAGCTTTGGTTTTACTTATGCACAATACAAAATTTGGCAGTCCCACTCTCCACGCACAAGTGGCCTAAACAGTCATTCATGATGAACCTGTTTTCTTTCTCTTTTTAAAAATAAAATAAAAAATCAATCACTGAATTTCATTAAGCAGGCACATGTCCAACAAACCAGTCATCATCAAAACCTTGACCAAAAGCAAATTTCAGATTAAATTGTTGCGGTTCAAGTCTACCAAAACTTTTCCCCAGAAAACTTATTAGTCATACTTTCGATCAATTGGTAATAATAATTTGGCCTATTTTCAATGAAAATATCCCATCCAGAAATCATTTGGGAGCAGTTCATCTAGTCTATTTCGAGATGAGTTTTTAAAGACTACTAGTCTAGAATGCACACAATTAGAAAATCCAGATTATATTTTCAGTGTCTTTTTTATATCTAAAATCACGATTAATATTGCAAAGGGCTTGCAACTCAAATGGTTAAAAGCATTTTGCTCGATGCTTGCTCAAGCTCCAAAGCCCTTAACGAAGGCTCGGTGCGCACCCACAGCACAAAGGATCGAAATTTGGATCCTATCTCTGCGTGTTAAGTGTTTGAAAAGAAAGATTTTCAAAAGATGACTTTCCACCTTATATAACTTGCACTTGAAAAACACCGTACATATGATTTTCCAACATCTTATATAACTTGCAATTGAAAACCACTGTACATGGGGTCAAAATTTTGAGTAAAAGAAGTTAAAAGTTACATGGTGCGATTGGAACAGAAAGGGATGGGATGGAGATGTTTTCACATTGCCATGGAGAAACCAACAGTTCAGCTTATGACAAAGATAATCGGCTATATTAATTAGGTTACGTCAAAGTCATCAAGATACAAAAGACTACTACTCTGAAGGTGAAATTGACGCCGCCACGGTGCGAACACACGTTACCTATATGAAGAAAGCGCACATCCAAAACTAGTTTCAGCATTTTGAGTTTTCTGATTTCTTCCATCTCTGCAAGTGCAAATTCATCACTCAAATTGCTTAACTGCACATACTATAAAAGCAAAAAATGATAACCACAAATTTTGAAGCTCATATATGTACAGGGTATACAAAACAACAAAGAGGTGATTAGGCCCCAAAAATACGCCCAAATCAATTGAGTGCCAAAACCCCAACCCCAGCTTTTCAAAGTAGGAGCAAGTTGCTATCCACTGGGATTCCCTGATGGATCATCCTTAAAACCCTTTGAAAGCAGATCATAGTTGATTGATGCAAGCTGGGAGAGATTCTGAACCACAATCAAAAGAACAACTAGTAAGATAGGTTTCAAAAGAAAAAAACAAATAGATCCATGCAAAGTAGTAGGAAAACCAAATCAGCAAAACATGAAAGAGAGAGTAAATCAGAAAAAAAAAATTCAAATAAAAAGCAAAGATAACTTCAATTACACGGAAATGCCCTTTTTTTTAATGACCAAGGAAGGGCTATCATTCAACATAGAATAAACAGTGCTCAACTTGCATCTCAACACACCCTATGCATGAAGACTTTAGAACAGTAAAGGTTCACATTCTATAAAAGTCAACAATAAAAGATTAGAGATAAAATCAAACCCAATGACAATATACGCACCCTGAGTGGTCATTTTAGAGATAATAAAATAAAATAACCACCTTGAAAGTTGAGAAATACCTTAAATGAGAAATTACTGAAAGAGTAATTGATGGAAGAGCCAGACTCGAACTCTGTGAGGCCCCCGCATTCGTCACCCTGTCAATGAACGATTGCCCAAGATCACGTCAGTGCATCAAATTATATGTAACTACGGTACAAAATCTATTCTCATTGTTTGTTAAACGCGTTAGTTTCTGGGAATCATGTACCACTTCCTCATGACGGTTGCTCAAGCAACTGCTGCAGCCACTTAGGCTATCAGAATCACTGGAATCGTCAAGTTCACTAGTTGGATAAACATGTTCATCGGAAGGATTCCATGAGTAACGACTGGTGAAGTAACTGGTATCCAGTGCACTCTCTGAGGTGGGAACAAACGCAGCCTGCAAGAAGTGAAGTCATGACAAAGTGGTGTCAATCTAACCGAAGATGAAAAATCTGCATCATCATGTTTATGATTTATGACTATGATGTGTCACACCTTCTGCCTGGCAAGTGTGTCCCAGTTGATATCTTTAAAGAATGGATGCTGCTTCACCTGTATCATAAATTGGAGTGCCATTAGTTTATCTAAGAGGTTTTGAAGATCAGGCACTAAAAAAAAAATGAAACTCAAATAAAAACTCAGAAATACCTCTGATGCTCCTCTAGCTCCAAGTCTCTGATTAGGATCTTCTGTCAATAACCTAGAAACTAGTTGTATCAGCATCAACTAGACAAACATTTTAGCTAGATACTTTCACCAGACCTTCACATGGCATTTCATAAGGAAATTTATTCCATTTTAAAAGTTTAAATAAGAAAAAAGAAAAACTATATGTACATACATAAAGATATACATAAAACTGGCGAACATGTGCTGATGCATTTCCACGTTTGAGAATTTATTTGGTGAACTTGTGCAGGAAAATAATGCAGCCTTACTGAGTGAATATTCATAAAATGATGGACCTTAAACTGGAAATCAGACTAAATCTAAGATCAGTTTTCAAGGCTACACCTCATAAAAAAAAAATCACAAATTTGATGCAAAATGGTATTCAAAGTTCAGACTTTCTGTGGACTGAAGCTATAGTTGACAGGCTCATAACTTGAAGTAGAACTATAGAGAAGTTCAAGAATGTTATCATCAGTATTTTAAAACTAGACCATAATATTGCAACCAATTGGCTAATGGACGGGTCTTAATTCCAGTCTGCTACATCCCTCTGATAGTTTTTGGTCAACACACAGATTGACCAATGGTCAACTTCCATGGAGTTCAATGGAAACACATATTTCCATCCCTCCTTAGCTTAGCAATAACAAAACATATCTTTTAAAGCAACAACATAATGATTCACTTACTGATCAATAAGATCCCGTGCTTCAGGGCTCATCTCTCCAGGCCGAGGCCAAGGTATGTTACGGTTGAGAATATTGTCAAATATAGTCTTCAAGAAAACAAACGAAAAAAGGTTAAAACAGCCGCCACAGAGTTAGAACTCAATCAAACCACGAAATCACAACTTTCTGCCTTACAAAAAGCAAACACAAAGCCCATGCATTATAATTATAACATATTTTAGAAGCAAGGTATTAACCTGAGGATGCTCTGCATTGAAGGGTGGAATACCAACGATCAATTCAAATAAAATGACACCAACTGACCACCAATCTGCAGTTGCACCTGTGGACCATAGAACAGTAGCAGCTTGTTAATCTTATCACGGAATTAACTGACCCCCAATAAGGGAAACAGAAAGCTGTTTGGAAAAAACACGAGCATAATGGATGTGCCCTTAAATACTGAATTAGGGATAAACCAAATAAGAGAACAGCTAGATGTTTGGGAGAAGGGATAAAACAAGATCATTATGGTTGGCTCCCCTTAAATCCTTGATTCAGCTTCCATGACAGACTAACCAGTACTAATAAATAATGATTTAAATATTCTATCACATAGCTGAACATTTTTTTCTAATTAATATTTCTTTGTTGATGTTGAAGGTTAACCTAAAGTTGAAGAGTTCAAAGACAAAATAAAGAAAATAATAGCACCTTAAACTTAGAAAAGGCTATACGAACCATGTCCTGTTCCTAAAAGTATCTCCGGTGCCAAATAGTCAGGTGTACCGACAGCAGAACGTTTCTTTCGGCTTTCTCGCTGTTGCTCAGACAGAGATATTTCGTGTTCATCTTCTCCGAGTAGGGATGTGCTACTAACTGCTGGACCAGATAAATCATCAGTGCTGTTGATGAGACCAACCTTTGAAAGCCCAAAGTCTGTCAACTGCTCAGATGGAATACGAAAAGTTAAATCCTTGGGGAGAGGGGTGGTGAAAGGCGATAACAATCCACATCCATAACTCCTAATTAACTGCTGCACAATTTGAATATTTTCCAACCCACAAACTACTGACATTATGTACTTTTGAAGTAAAGAAAGAAAATTGTTGAGTACAATCTCACATGCGCATATGGAAATGCTAGTTCTCTAAATCTAATGTGAAATATTTGAAAATGGTACAATAAGTTTCATTTATCTTGAACCCAAAATATGCATATAACTAAAGCTGAACCATGTTTTACCAATCACCAGCTCTATTAGAGATGGATGTTCAAATTTCACTATCCTATTT